AAACATTTTTGTATTGTAAAATTGAGAATAGTTTGCTTAACTTAACTTATTTCAGTGTAATTCATAGTTTCTGGAAACGAGTTTTCATCCTCTATAAAAGGAAGAGAATATGGTGATTTGAGGCTGTGACGTAGTCATTTGCATATAAATATTGACACATAATAAACATCTTAATGAAATCATTAACATGCTGTTAAAAACACATACACACGTGATAGAAAGAAGAATTTACCGTGGAATATGATTATATCATGAAAATAAATAAGCATGATGTGAAGCCCCCTGGGTGGAGGCTTGATCGGTCATGTGTACGAATCTTAGATGGCAATAGAACATGATCATTTGTAAACGCAAAGGCAGCATTATGCGAGCTACGTTATATGTAACAAGCTAGCACTGTTTTTATTTAAAACTAATACTAGTATTATGAATATATAAGAAATGCAGGTGTTCACAATCTACAAAAAACTCTCAACTCAGGCTCAGATAAGCCAATAAAGGAACATTTATGAACACACACATGGTCCAGGTTGTAATTAACATTGCATTGCGGCTAAGTCCAGGTTCTTGACCAATAGCATTCTTATACGTCATCCACTGGGTATCAAAATATCATCGATTATATTTATATCTTGGTATCTGAGGACTTCAATTTTACTATAAATAACCTTTGTACCACATGGATGCAGTATTTCTATTCATTATCATCAGTATAAATAACATACTGTCATAAACGATAATGCCATAAGCATCAACTGAATCTCCATCACTCATCCATCCGGTCACATTTGCATGTTCTATTTTGGGCAAAAAAATGAATAACCTGGTTGTTACGTCTTATCACGTGACATGATACTTTTTAGTCCGCTATATGTGCATGGTTTTTGACGCTTTAGTCTTGAATAACGCGTCGTCAAATTTAATCCAAGGTAGGTATACATTTTTATTTGGCAAAAGTTTATTTAGGATTTTAGTACTGAATTGTATTTCGCCGTAACTCAACAATTTGTGCTAATGTTAAATGAATGCAATGATTTATTTAGATACTCGTATCTATAACATATGCAGCGTGACATTTCTTATTTCAGAATTCTCATACGACTGATTTTTATAGTAAAAAAAAGGAATATTTAATCATAGACATAAACAGGTTTTTGATTCAGCTGTTCAGTATAGTCGCTACATCTGTTCTATGGCATCGTTGCAATGGGCTCATTCACTGAATCATGTCTACCGTTTTCACCACATGTCCTTGTTCTATGGTAATCGCACGTGTAAGACCGTGCGAGGTTTCAAAGCTGCTGACTTCAAATGTGTCTACTCTAGCCAAGAATACATCTCGTGTCTAGACTCAAGTCCAAGTTCTTTTATAAAGTTAATCACGTGATATCGTGACATCACCACGACGCTCACAATAGGTTAATAATGTGATTGTTTAGAATTTTATTATTATTATTAAATCTTGTTTGCAGGAAATAAAGCATGAAGTCCGTACATCCCATATTATAAATTGAATGTTCTAAAGTAGATGTGGTATATAGGCAAGTTTTCTTAATATTATTTTCAGTTAGACGGGTATAGAGTGAAAAAAAAAACATGTTTCGTCTAAGAGCGTCAAATGTACGAATGTTCGAGGACACAAATATACTACTAGCACTACAATCCCCGGGCCGACCAAGGAAAAAACGAAATGCATTAATATACGCAACACGGAGATCATAAATACTTTTACGACTATGTTGAAACCAAAGCTGTGAACAATACATGTTTAAAATTACTACTGCAGCTAGACAAGTTTAGAAGCAATATATTGCCTCTGCCATACAATGATCGGATCTGTTGCTCCATACAATTATCAGTAACAACATATCTATTATTCATAACTTGCCAAATAAGGAATGTGCGATGACACTACACGTGGCGTACGGTCAAGGCATGCACAATGTATTACAACGTTACATCAAGGTAGTAAGAATGTAATGACAAAAGTAATATTACATGAGAAGGTTAACACGTACTGACGTCCTGTCATACGATGTGAGCGAAAACTAGAATGGCGACAAACTCTTCCTCTGCCTGTTCCAGGTCAATATCTTTTGACAACACGGTGGAATAGGATATACTACTGAGTCTATATAATTTACATAGAGTATATAAAGTTTGTTTGTTTTTAAAAAGGATTTGCAGAAGGTGTATTCACTGCTAATGCTGGAAGTCTGATCCAATAGTCAACGACTCCTTCGCTAAAGAAACACTTTCTCATGACAATGAAGAAACCATGCTTCCAAAAGTTAAAACTGTCACGGCGGCCCTTACAGTGGCTTTAAAAAATAGTTTTTAATTTTGTGACCCACAGAAATTGCGTTGTTTGCTTTAATTGTCGCGTTTTTACTGTGACCGCAAGAAGGAATGGAATGACAATATTACAGTATGAGACACTGTTTTGCTAATGATATAGTTATAATGCTACAGTACCTCAAGTGGCAACGCTTTGTATAAT